CTCGCTGTTGTGTGTGTGTGTGTGTGTGTGTGTGCTTTCGTTGCTATTTGGCGTCGACAACAGATTATGTCATGTCGTTTTACTGCTTTGTTTTATTGCTTACCCCCGCCTCCGGCCCCCTCCTTTCCGAGATGTGTAGCACGCGTACGAGCGCGTTGGGGGCACATCTGCCGCCGCCTTCTGCCCAGGAATTATACACTATTGCGATCGCGATTGTGGCATGGAGTGGCGCGGTTAGAAAGCATGGCATTCCATGCAGCAATCAACACACAGCATTCCACAATGCATACATATGTATGTATGTGTGTGGCTTTTGGTGTTTGCTGCGCGAGCGCTCATTCATTCATTCATTCAACATTTTCATTTTCACATTTTTGCGCGTTTTGGTGTTGCTGTTTTCGGCTCCTGCTTCTCTGTTGAGTGGTTTCTGTTTTGTTTTCGTTTTACATTTCGCCATGATTTCGTAAATGCTTCAATTCACTCTCTCTTGGTCTTATGCTCTGTCTTTAAGCTGCCGCTCTCTCTCTCTCTCTTAACGAACAGTTATCACAAAGAGATACCCATTGGAAGGGCTTGTGACTGTTGTAAACAAGCCTCACCTTTACATAAGTACAATGTGCTTGTTCCCTTGCCATGCCTTTCTCTCTCTCTCTCAAAAGCTTGCACTCTTGCGGTGCCTACGATCTCGCTGTCTCTCTCTTTCGGCAAACAGGTTGAAGCTTTACTCTCCTTTGGAAAGAGCAGGAAAAGCAATATCAAGAGAGACAGAGAGCGGGAGCGAGGTAGACAAATGTTGGTCAAGTTTTTGAGAGAGAGAGTGAGAGACAGCGTCGCCGCCGCCGCACAGTGTGGCCGCAGCCGTAAAGAGGCGGAAAAATGCAGTGTTTGAGTGGGAGAAAGATAACTTTCTTCTAAAGTTATTATGTAAAAAATACAAATTGATTATTTTACATGGGCAAATATTCACCGGCAACAAAGTTTAGATTTGAGAATTTATTGTAAAGGTTCTACATCTACTTGTGCTGACTGAATTTCGAAAGATATTTATTTTGGAAGTTATGATTTTGGCAAGGCCGCCGCACTGTGCGCCGCCCAGAGGACTTTGCATACGGGGGGAATAATGAAGCAGCGTTGATTATGAATGATCTTCATTATCGTCGTCGCCGTCGTCGTCGTCGTCGTCGTCGTCGTCGTCGTCGTTGGTTGTGCCAATTACCAATTTGGTGTCATCGCCGATTGCCTCCCTTTCTCTGTGGACCATTTGACTGGGCCATGCCATGCCTTACCCCATTTGACAGTCGCTTTAAATCCGCCTAGCCCAGATCGTGGCTTTGCATACCCTAGCCGCGGGCACCAGGAGGGGTATATCGATCGATTCCAATCCCCATCTGATCTGAGTAGAGACCCCTACATGAGTTTTCAAGGTTATTCTGGTAAAACACTGAATGGGTAGTATTTATATCGTACTAGAGAGTTTTTTATACCCGATACTCAAAATGAGTATTGGGGTATATTAGATTTGTGGTTAAAGTGGATGTGTGTAACGTCCAGAAGGAATCGTTTCCGACCCCATAAAGTATATATATTCTTGATCAGCATCAATAGCCGAGTCGATTGAGCCCTGTCTGTTTGTCTGTCCGTCCCCTTCAGCGCCTAGTGCTCAAAGACTATAAGAGCTAGAGCAACGATGTTTTGGATCCAGACTTCTGTGATATGTCCCTGCTACAAAAATATTTTAAAACTTCGCCCCGCCCACTTCCGCCCCCACAAAGGGCGAAAATCTGTTGCATCCACAATATTGCACGTTCGAGAAAACTAAAAACGCAGAATCATAGATAATGACCATATCTATCAGATTGCTGAATCTGGATCAGATCAGATCATTTTTGTAGCCAAAAGGAACAAATCAATTTGCACTGGCTACGCTCAGACTGATTTTCTGTCTCTCTCGCACGCACTCTTTGTCGTGTCGTTTAATATTAGCGGCGTCTGCCGGAGGAGAGCCATACTGACTTAGTATCGGGTATAACTGTAGAGTTGCGGTGTCCGCAGCAACTCACAACGTTCCCCCTCGTTTTATACAACATATGTAGTTCAAAGTATATAGTTTTCTTTATGGATCTAAAAATCCTTTTTTGGAATCGGACTGATCGATCCATATCCATACATTTACATATTTCTAATCAGACCTCAAATTTTGTTCTCTATATATCATATGTATCTGCAATGAAAAATATCCCAAAAGCAAAAGAATGAAAAGAAGAAAATTGAACATTAATTGAATTTGATTTGGTTTAAAGGGTATCCAAAACTTAGCCATTCGAAAAACTAGGAGTTTCTGCATTCTTTTATCTATTAATTTGTTGTGTTTCATACATACATACATATGTATGTATATATGTACATATATTTTCTTTTTGGCCAGAACCAGAATTGAAATCACCTCTCGTTCGACTTGTCCAACCCGCTCTCCGTTGCCTGATCCAATTTCCTCGACTCGAGACTCGATTGCAGCGATGCCGAAGTGCCAGTGGCAGTGGCAGTGCCAGTGGCTGTGGCATATCGGGTTCGTGTTTGGCTCATTTCGGATTTTGGATTTCTGATTTCTGATTTCTCGTTTCCCCACTTCTTGTCGTGTGCCAAAAATTAATTGGGTGAATGTGCCTTCAGGCATTCTCGGATCTGCATTAAGTGTATGCCTAGGGAAATATTTCTGTAATCCCTGAAATGTAGAGCGGTATTTATTCAGGCACAGGGGAATAATCAATATTCAATTCCGGAAATTATCATCAGAACCAAAAGTGTTGGCCCGCCACCAGACAGACGACATGCGTACCTATATAAATATGTGTATGGCTTTCAAGCAGGAAATGTCAACTCGATTCGAGCCATATCTGAATAGGGGGAATCCGCCTGCCGCCTGCCGCCTATTCGATTGCCGAGCGCCGATAGGCCCCACGATAAGCAAATGCAATCGATCCCGAAACAACCCTTAACCTTCATGGGGGTCGGATGTAAAGCCCTGGCCTTAGCCGCAATTCCAAGGACATCTGTTACGGGTTTCCACCACTAACCTTGACCCTGAGTGAGAGGCACTTTTCGGTATTTCTAGCTTTTCTTTTAAACGAAATTATGATGTATTGTGTATAGGGGCTGTCTATACGGTTTTTTTGGTTTTGTTTTTTGTTTTTGTTTTTGCGAAGCCTTCGATTTTGTGCTCATTTCCAAGGCAAGTCACGAGCGGCACTTGCAAATTGAAGAAATCCGCCCAAAGGCCACAAGCCACCAGCCACCAGCCATCACCTCACCCCCCTAATCAGCAGCAGTCTCCCTCGCGCCATAAAGCTCATCCAGGTGTCGTCCCACAGCTGATTGATAATGCAGAGAGAGAGAGGAAAGAGAGAGAGAGAGTGGGAGAGTAAGTGCAGCATCAGCATCGGCATCGGCATCCCCTCCAAGAGCAAGAGAGCGGCGACAAACCGTTGGGTTTCGCCAAGCAATACCCTCTACCAGAGAGGGTATGCTGATTTTAAAGAACACACACCCATTATTAAATTAAGACTTCGCTTCTTAAATATATAATATAAAAATATATAATAAATACATATATATATATATAGGGCCCATTTTAATCTACATGTAAAACATTTTAAAATAAATATAAAATATTTAATAGGTAGAGTTGGGAGCTATTTAATCTGTTTATTATTTTGTTGAGCAAGGAACTATGTATTCAAAAGTATTTTTAAAATTCCTTTGCGGCGGAGGACATCCCTGGGTCCATTGCAGGGCCCTGCCAGTGCTGGTTGTAGAACTCCAGTCGCTCGGCAGGAGGGAGATCCTCCACGTCCACATCCATCATGGACCCATGGACCCATCAGTGCCCAGCACGGTCAAGTGCGGAACTCTAGAACTAGTACTAGTACCAACTAGTTTTCCTGAAGCTATAGACCCTTAATTAGAAAATTAGTAACAAGTTTCGCAAATATGTATTTAATATCAGCAACCTAAATGGTTATCTTACAGCTGTCCAGATAGCATGAAATCTAATCTCTGTTTTGTAAAGGCTATCTTTAAGCAAAAACTACAGTCTTTTGGCAATAAAGCAACCCCCTTTTAATTTGAATTTCGTATATCAATTGCTACTCTCCCTCCCTATCGGAGAATATCTATTGGCATGAATTTTCTCCGGGTGGAATTCCACTTTGCAGCAATTGAGATCTAACAAGCCTGTATGTATAATAAATCTATAAAATAATGGGGTATCGAATGCTGCAATACCATCGAAGGATGAATTTTTTGTGTGTGTGTGTGTTTTTTTTTTTGCCGTTTGTCGTTTTTGCTGATGCTGTTCGCAGTCGCCGTCGCCGTCGCAGTCGAGTCGCTGCTTTTGCTTCTGCTTGATGGATATTGGCCGAGAGAGAGAGAGAGAGAGGGAGCACGGCTAGACGACGAGAGAGAGTGAGTGCGATGGAGGGTGTGCGTGTTCGTGTGTGTGTGTGCAAGTACCATTTGATGCTCTTTTTGACACTGGTTTTGTTGTTGTTGGTGCTGCTGCTGCTGCTGGTCTAGCGGCTCGCTCGTCCAATCGATCTCCCCAGAGCTGTTGCTGCTTGTTGGCCGATTCTCCGTTGGCCGTTGGACACCTCCGCGTTTGGGGAGGCGCGTTTTGCCATTTTTGCGGATTTTCATAGTTCAAAGCGCTTTCCAGTCGTCGACAGCAGCACGAGACGCGACATCGGCAGCGTCCAAGATTTAGACTCTAAATATAATCATTTTATAATCATTTATTTTTATTTTGTGATTAATTCAATCGAAATAGATAGAGAGAGAGAGAGAGAGAGAGAGAGAGCGAGAGCAGAAAATTGCTCTTGAAAGTGAATGGAAAGAATGGAAAACAAAAGAGAAAGATATGATGAAAGAAAGCAATAGAATTGGCGCTGGATTCGTAAAAGTTCATACGAAATTTATTCCGTTTCTCTCAGTGTTGATTAGTTGCTGATTAGCGGCTGTGTTTCAGTGTTGTCCAGTGCGGCTTAGTGTTGGTTTTTTTTTTGTTGCTGTTTTGTTATTATTATTGCGGTTATGCAATGCCACAGTTTGATGAATCTTTTTTGAGCGATTGTGCGCTCGCCGATCGCTGGCATTTCTACTCGTACACGCTCAAGCAGACACCGCATCATCCTCATCATCACCAGCACAATTATAGTTACCATCACGATAATGATGACAACGATCATCAGCGGGCATCATGGATGCCGCGAGATAACAACAACAATAGCGGCCACACACTACACAACATCAAATTCCAGCGCCGTTGCAGGCACAAAAAGATGCCCCGTCTGGCAGCATCGCTGTCGATGCCAGTGATGCCCATGTCCCAGGACAGTATCCCTAACGCTGTGGCGGGCGAACGTAAGTGAAGGCATGAAAAAGTGCAGGTCGTCCTTCAGGAGTAGATCGGCGGGGGGGACGCACTCTTCGAAGTTAACTAAAACATAATCAAGAGAGAGCCTCGAGGCCGGAGCTGGAGCCAGAGCCAGTGGGATGATGGGGTGTTCTCCAACTTTGAAGTCAAGTGAATGGAGGGGGGAGACTGTGAACAAAAATGAAAACAGTATGATTTGAATCAGTTGTGGAGAAAAACAATTTCCTTGAATGGTATCTCGGTGCAAAAGCAAAATCCTTTCTGTTGCTTCCCCGCCGTCTTTAAGCAGTGCAAGTCCGTTCGCTTATGGAAACATTTGTGTATCTAATGTTAGACGGGACTTACTTGTTTCTCAGGGGAAATCAATCACTTTAGTCGCATTCTCTCGACCCGAACCATTTGTTTATTATTATTTTGCTTGCTTCCTTCATTGCAGACGGCAGCATTAGCTCTCCGAACACGCCGGGCGGAGGTGCCATCGGTGGTGGGTGCAGCAGCAGCAGCAACAACAGCATCAACAGCGGCAGCTACGCGAGTGCCTCCTCAGTTCCTGTCGCATGCACACCGCCGCCGCCGACGCACCAGTACCAGGGCGGAGGGAGGGCCGGAGGCGGAGTGCCACCGGCACCGCCGAGCGCCGTTCACGGCAATCCGAGCGGATCTTCGGGGCATAAGAACAGCCTCAAGGGAACGAAGCTGGCACGACGCGCACGCTCCTTTAAAGACGACCTGATCGAAAAGATATCCCTGATGCGGACCACCAACAACACGCTGGGTCGCTCCCACTCGCCGCACAGTCCGCGTACGAAGCATGGCGCCGGTGTCAAGCCGCCGCCTTCGAACGAGGAGGTGCAGCGCTCCACACAGACTCTGGAGACGCACGTCAAGGATATATCGAATGCCCTCAAGCACTTTCGGGACGTTATTCTGAAGAAGAAGCTCGAGGTGCTGCCCGGCAATGGCACGGTCATCCTGGAGACCATTGCCAGCATGTATTCCGGTAGGTGTCACACTCCCCAACCAGCAGGACATCCCCTGACATCCCTCTGTGTTTCCGCAGTTATCCAAACGTATACCCCACTGAATGAGAACAGTGCCATCATGAGCTCGGCCACGCAGCAGGTCTACCAATCCCTGGGGAAACTCATCAAACTCTGCGACGAGGTAATGCTCTCCGACGAGAGCGGCGAGTGCCCCTCCCTAAGCAACGATAATGTGCGCGAAGTTATCGATCTACTCGAGGACGCAGTGAGGGTGAGTGGTATAATTGATTTTTATTTCGATCATTATCAAACCGAATCCTTGCAAGTTTTCATGCCACAGTTAGTTATATTCGACGTGCACACGTGAATCGCAATTTTCGAAATGAAGATTGTCGAATCGAACGAGTGGAATAGTTTTAGGTTTCGAATATGAGTATTTTATGCCAGTTATTTTCGGCGTTCACACGTGAATGGCAATTATCGTGATGAAAATGATCAATTCGAATCCTTTGAATATTTTCTAGTTTTCGACTAATAGTTTTCGAGTTAATACATGCCACCACGTATTCACATGAATGGCTATTTTACGTTCGAATGAAACAAAACCAAACGTAAGGCCCCGAAATCCCTCAAAGGCGAGTGGTGTCTAAAACGAATGTGTGTCTGATCACGAAATTCATAGACATCAAGGGGAAAATGTACACCAAAAGAGCTTTCAATGACTCGAACATCGCATCCGTTTCTAATGCAAATCCTCCTGTTTATTCGTTCATTCCCTCTAGAATCTCGTAACCCTGGCCCAGGGTAAACTAAAGGAGCAGGATCAGTGCGCCTTTCGCTACAGCGGCTCCTCCGGCCTGGGCGGCATTGGGGCCGCAGCCGAGATTATGGGTGCGGTCACAGCATCCAGCACGAATGCAGGCGGCGTAGGCAGCGGCGGCATACTACCGGTTGGTGGTGTGCCCGGCACCGGGATCACGGGCGTGGCCAGCATGCGGATCTCCGCTGTCGAGAACGCGGCCGTTGGCCAGCGCACCTCCCTGCCAGACATTGCCCTGTCGCCGAAGGAGCGGGCTATCCTGGAGCATCGGAATGTGAACCCCATGCGGGGATCGCACAGCACCGAGAGCATACTGCGCGACACGAGTCCGCCGCCAAAGCCGCCGCTACCGAATCGGGCAAGCAATCCCCCACCGCTGCCACCCAAGCGACGCAGTCAGCCGCAGGCGCCTCCCGGTGGCTCCTCCTCATCGACGTCCACCTCTAACCAGGCCAGTCCGCTGCCCTATGCGCAGTCGCACAACATCAGCCTCAACTCGGACCTGGACTGCAGCTCCAACATCTCGCTGCTGAACTACGGTGTGGATCGGTAAGTGGCTCGAAGTCAGACCAGACCGTTGATGGTTGATTGATTGTTGGACTCCAACCCTTAGATTATCGGTGCGTTCCCGTTCCCCGGATGAGAATAGCCAGTGCTCCTTTGACTCGGCTCTGAATCACTCGCGCGAGGAGGAGGATCCGCAGCAGCAGCAACAGCAACTGAAGCAGACATTGAAGCTGATGGAGGAGGATGCGGACAAGTTGATTAGCTACAGTGAGTATTGGATCCCATCAATGATCCCTCGATCCATATCCACATTCTGCTCAACTCAAGTGGCGGCATCTCCTCCTCTCTCTCTCTCTCTCTCACTCTCTCCTGTCAACCTCCCAACAACCCCACCCCGCCCCTTAACCACATCCCACATATCCCACATACAGAAGCCGCCGGGTCCGCAAGCGCTGCTGCACAGGAAATGGTCATGGCCCAGGCACCATCCAATGCGCAGACACTGCTCCCAGGAACAGGAGTCCCAGGCCCAGGCCCAGGCGCAAGTGGAGCAGGTGCAGGTGCAGGAGGTGGAGGGGAAACTAACACGGAGCTGCGCACTGCGACGGCAGCCCTCACCAACAATCGTCATTCGAACGAATCGGGTACTGCCACCATCTCTTTAGCTTTCTAGAGCCCCTACTACTGCTGCTTCTGCTGTCGCTTTCCTCTCTTCTGTATCTCTTAGAAATATACACACATATCTCGTAATCTGTATCTGAATCTGTATCTGTCTGCATATTATTATTTATCCTACTTGTTGTCTTGTCTTGTTTATTAGAGATACTGCAACTGCAATGTTTTCTGTTCATTCGTTTGCTGTTTATGCTTTAATGACCTTCCAGAGCTATGCAATGCAATGCCATCCCATGACAAATCCTTCGATTTAATAGATACGTTATCTAATTCGTGAAATTCGATGGTACTCTTCAATAGAGTCAAAGAATTATCAAATATCCAAATCACTTTATGACGAGTTTATCTCGATATCGGGATTTCGCAGCGTTCCTTTCGCTGCTTCCTATTTTGCTCAAACTGTTTTTTTACGCATTTGCTTTACCTTTTTCTTGACTTTTGCTGTTGCTGCTTAGTTTTTTTGCACTCAACTTCCTAACTCTATTCCCTCTCTCTTTCGTCCACTCTTCTGCGGCAGGTTTCGTGTCGATGAAGTCGTTCCGCACATCCACGCAGAGCGTCTCCAAGCGCTCCTCGGACTACAGCGTGCAATCGTCGGCCAAATCGTCGAGTAGCAATTCGGAGATTGCGATCAGTATCAGCGAGTCAGCGTCGGCGACAGCGAGTGCGGCCAGCAGCGAGTACCAGCAGATCAGCCAGTCGGTCAGCCACAGCAGTCACCGGTCGCAGCAGCAGCAGCACATCTCCAGCAGCTGCAGCAGCAGCATGACCACCACCACCATGAGCAGCTACAGCAGCAGCGATCAGCAGGAGCAGGCGGCCACAACGGAGGCTGCAGCACCCGCCCTGCCGCCCAAGCTGACAACACCGGTAGTGACGGCGACGGCGACGTCAACGTCAACGTCAACGGCAACGTCGACAACAACGCACCAGCGCACGCTGACGCGTCACGAATCGAGCGCCCTCGACGAGCTGGACTGGAGCCAGGGCGCAGCCAGCAGCAGCAGCAGCAGTGCCGCAGAGGTGGCAGAGCTGAGGCAACTGTCGCCGCACCATCACCACCAGCAACAGCTGCACCAGTGGCATTCGAAGCACCATAGCCTGATCGAGCCGCCGCGCAGTGCCCCCCACCATTTGGCTGGCAGTTGCAGCGCCTTCGATCAGAGGCATCTCGAGGAGCCGCCGCCGTTGCCCATAAAGAAGAAGCACAGTAAGTATCGATTGCCCAAATCGATTGCACACTCTCCATTTATTGTACCATTCGATTATTTATCAGTATTGTTTTCCTCTTCTTTTCCTTTTTCTTTGGTTCTGCATCTCTTTGTGTGTGTGTGTGTGTGTGTGTGGGTTTTTTGTGTGTGTGCATGAACTTTGGCTGACCTGACCGCTGGGTAAATGCCGTCCCATAGGCTTTGCCGAGTGGTAAGAGTAATACCGTTATTGCTGTAACGTGTGTGTGTCTAACGGTTCATCGTCATCAGCATCATCCCGGGGGAGGGGCAGGGGGAAATTTCATTGAACTGCAACATTTTTAAAGTTTTTATTTTGCAATTTTTGTTTCGTTTCGTCTTTTTTCGTGGGTTTTTGTGGGTCATACACACACGCCCATACTCGTATATCGCCAAGAAAACAAAAATCATCGATATTTATATTACCATCAAAGCAGTTATCGATCGATAACTCGAAATCGTATTGGAAATCGGATGAGATATCGATCATTTATAGAGCTCAGTTCATCGAAGCAATTATTGATTAGGTTTATTCAATTGGTAAATGATGAGATTGATATTAACGAAATTATCGATATTTAAATTATCATCAGAGTAATTATCGATCGATAACTAGCCAGACAGAAAATGAATCGTATTCAATTTGAATTCCACGAACAGAAATCCCTCAAATGGAGTATTGGAAACAACGCGCAAGAAATTATCGAAATGATATTGGCAATCGGATGAGATATCGATCATTTATCGAGCGGAGTGCATCGATAATTGGTAATTGATAAGATTGATATTATCCAAATTATCGATATTTAAATTCTCATCAAAGTAATTATCGATCAATAATTAATTTATTTCACAAAAAGAAGTCCCTCACTCGGATGAAATCGAACAAGAAATCGATCCGAACGATTATCGAACTGGTATCGAAAATCAGATTGAATATCGATCATGCCCCCAATCATACAAATCATACACCCACATCAAGGGCAACAAATCAAAACCGCATACAATAAACAACTATCAGTCATTCAGTCAATCAATCAATCAATCAGTCACAGAACATGTATCAAAGAAAACAAAACAAACAAAAAAGGCCGTGGTTGAGAGTTGAGAGGTTTGCTTTTTGGTTTTCAAGACCCACCTTTATTTATAGCACATTTAAACGTAAACCCGTTAGCGCTAACGTAGCCGCAAAACGAAAGGCAAACGATACGAAAATTTGCCAAATTGTTGTACGTAAGAGTCTAACCCATCTAAATTATCGTTCCAACCAACATCTAGTGTTTCAAAGTGTGGCATTCTCGGGTAAGTCTGTGTGTGCTATTAGAGGACCAAAACACAAAAAACCAAAACAAAAAACCCCAAAAAACAAATCGAGAAATGAACAAAAACAAAATCCAAACTAAAACAAAAAATCGCTTCGGCAGCCTCGATAGCTCGCGATGCTCTTTTCATTGGTTCCAATGTTACTGTTGAAAGGATATGAAAACAAATGTGGAGATTTTCCGAATCAAGTGGCCCCAGCGACAGCCAAGATGAAGCATGTTACGCGCGGATCGAGCGTAGGACTAATGATCTAGGAAAATCGATAGCTAAACTGAAATAAAAGAGCTATGGATCCCTCAAAATTGCAAATACTAATACTCCTTACGGTCGTTGGATGCTGGTATTGGTATTTTCCCAACAGGAAGGAAATTAGTGGTCGATATAATGTTGTTTAGGTAGCCGTAGTCCAAGCTTAAGAATAACTTGACCTAAAAAGTGAAAGGAACTCGCAAAGAGCATTTCGAGTTCGTTGCTGGCTTCTTGCTATTCGGCTGATTGTGATATTGTGATTGTGCTGCTGTTACTCAACACTGATGCTTTTGCCCAACACTGCAACTGTTGATCAACACTGCTGCCACTGCTGCTGCCGCTGTGGATGATGATTTTGGTTTCAATTCCGTTTGTTTCGTATTGGTCCTGTTTCAGTTTCTGTTTCATTTTTGCTTTCGTTTCGTTTTGCCTAATCCTCTGTATCCCCCACCGTTTTGTGCTTCCTTCCAAATGTTCTGTGCTGCTGTGCTATGTGTTTCAATGGTTTTATTGTTTGTTGTGATGTTGCGATCCCTTGATGTTTTTAGATGTACATAGACACAGACACCCACCCCCTTTTAGATGTATTCGAATGTTCTCTCGTTTATGATCTTATAGACTTATAGAGCCCTTCGAAGGGAGATAGATTTCCTTGTGTATCTAGCGTCAGGGATCGATCGGCTTTGTTGGTTCGACTTTTGAGATGGTATTTTCCAGCACTGCTCAACACTAATTCCGTTTCCTTCCACCTACCATCCGTACCGCACACACAGTTCTGGCCTACATGGAGGTCTGCTCGGCCCCGACCCGCCCCATCGAGCAGCACCGACACACGATGCATGCGTACAACATCAGCCGGAATATCTCCCATAGCCAGACAATGAAGTGAGTTAAGCATTTCCTTCCCCCACTGAGTGACTATGTCTTTACCGACTCTTTATTTCTTCATTCCTTTGCAGCATTATGCCGATGAGCAAGGAGCTGTCGCCCGAGCTGGAGACACCACCAGCCCTGCCGCCAAAGAACTACAAGCAGCGCAAGCCGACGCCCTCTTTGCAGCCGATAATTGTCACAACACCGCCGCCCAGTCCAAAGCCGACTCTGGGCGAGAATGGGTCGAGCGGAGGATGCGGTGGTGGCGGCAGCGGGCGGCCAGACAGTCGTATGGCCACTGTTTGTGAAGAGCATAACGATTCCCTGGTCCTCGACAACAATGAGAATGTGAATGTCAGTTCTGGCGACGGCGATGGAGAGGGCGAAGGCGAGGGTCAGACCTTCTATTGCCACTCGCATCAGCTGCCGGATGAGCCGGTGGCAGCGCAAACATTAGCGGACACTGATCAGCAGCAGCAGCAGCCCATTAGCACGCCCAAGCTGATCGATGAAGACCAAGAGTCGAGAGTCGCCCCAGAGTACGAGGCTGAGAAGCAGCAGGAACAGCAGCGGCATCAACGCCAGTCTGATGGTAGCGACAGACAGCAGCAGCAGGACGCTGGCGAGGTGGAGACGCTGATCAATATGCTGGAGGAGGTTAATATAACGCGCTATCTAATACTCAAAAAGAAGGAGGAGGACGGGCCAGAGGTCAAGGGCGGCTACATTGACGCGCTCATTGTGCACGCGAGCCGTGTCCAGAAGGTCGCCGACAATGGTAGGCATCCACATCCACAGCAAGCCAAGCGGAAGCATGTCAAGCACCCTCGTAACCATCGAACTCCCCCCCACTCATCTTGTGTCTGTCATTCTGTCTCTGTCCATTCCACACGTGCAGCATTCAGCGAGGCGTTCATCACCACCTTCCGCACCTTCATCCAGCCAATCGATGTGATCGAGAAGCTCACCCATCGCTACACATACTTCTTCTGCCAGGTGCAGGATAACAAGCAGAAGGCCGCCAAGGAGACCTTCTCGCTGCTGGTGCGGGTTGTCAATGATTTAACGTGAGTATCGGAGTGCCACAGTGGCGCAGTGCCGCAATTTGCGTCTGGTGTTCACCAACAATCCATTGCAGATCTACGGACCTCACCAGCCAACTGCTTAGTCTGCTGGTTGAGTTTGTCTACCAGCTGGTCTGCTCCGGACAGCTATATCTGGCCAAGTTGCTGCGCAACAAGTTCGTGGAGAAGGTGACGCTCTACAAGGAGCCGAAGGTATATGGCTTTGTCAGCGAACTGGAGCTGGGCGGAACGATTACCAGCAGCGGAGCCGCTGGCGGCGGCGGTGGTGGTGGTGTTGGCGGTCTGTCCGGGAATAGCAGCAGCAGCATGAGCAGTGGCAGCAGCAATCAACCCAGTTTGCTGGACCTCAAGTCTTTGGACATTGCCGAACAGATGACGCTGCTGGATGCGGAGCTGTTCCAGAAGATCGAGATACCCGAAGTATTACTATTTGCCAAAGATCAGTGCGAGGAGAAGTCGCCCAATCTCAACAAGTTCACCGAGCACTTTAACAAGATGTCCTACTGGGCACGCTCCAAGATCCTGCGACTGCACGACGCCAAGGAGCGGGAGAAGCATGTGAATAAGTTCATTAAAATCATGAAGCATCTGCGTAAGATGAATAACTATAATTCGTATCTGGCGCTGCTCTCGGCCCTCGATTCGGGCCCCATTCGAAGGTAAATCAATCGTTTATCCATCATTTACGAGTATAACCGAATTTATGTGGCAGGTTGGAGTGGCAGAAGAGCATCACCGAGGAGGTGCGATCCTTTTGTGCCCTCATCGATTCCAGTTCCAGTTTTCGGGCCTACCGCCAGGCCCTGGCCGAAACCAATCCGCCCTGCATACCCTATATGTGAGTCCCCCTAATCTTTCTGCTTTCCAGCAGCAAATGTGCTCATGTTTGTGTTTCTTTTTAGCGGTCTGGTCCTGCAGGATCTGACGTTTGTGCATGTGGGCAACCAGGACTATCTGTCCAAGGGCGTCATCAACTTCTCCAAACGCTGGCAGCAGTACAACATCATTGTGAACATGAAGCGTTTCAAGAAGTGGTAAGTGGCCGCTTCCAAGCACCAAACCCCATATCTAGCTAACTTTTCTCCCCTTGTCCTTGGTCCCTCGCAGTGCTTATCCGTTTCGACGCAACGAACGGGTCATACGGTTCTTTGAAAACTTCAAGGACTTTATGGGCGAGGAGGAGATGTGGCAGATATCGGAGAAGATCAAGCCACGCGGACGTCGGCCCCAAAACTACTAAAAACAAAAGAAAACAAAACAACAGGAAAGATGCAGTAGAATGCAGCAACTACAAAACACCAACTATATATATACGGAATATATATGTTATATTATATAAAAAACAAAATATACAAATACAAAATAATGCAATGGCCGTGGAGGAGCAGCAACAACAGGAGATGGGAGATCAGGCTGAGGATGCGTATGCGGATGTGGATGTGTAGGAGAATGTGGACCTGGAGCAGAAGCAAAAGCAGAGGAATCAGCTGAAACTATTATGGATGGGTCTGAGCAATAATAACGTTCGCTATTCGCTGTCTATATATACAATACATATATATATATATATATATATATATATATACAATATATATATATACATATGATGATTACACATGTAATCTATATACATATATATAAAGTAACCAGATCAGATCAGTTAAATATACATGTTAACTATATTATATATACAAAATAGCGGATACAGATAGAGAACTAAATATCCAGAATATCGATAACTGTAGCTGAATTATATGAAGCTCTATGAAGAAACTCCCCACCAATCTTACATCTTAAATGAATCACCACGAACCAAGCAACCAATCAACCAATCAACCACTCCACCACTCCCCCCTTCTCCCATGAGTTGCACCGAAGGAAAACACCAAAGCGATCCATCAATCAGCCAAAAACCGCAAACATCAAACAGACGAAACAGATCGGGCTTTCATTATTCTTTTGAGATATATCTGTTTACATAAGAGCAGCACACAACGAATTTTTTGGAAACCAAGAGAACGCGATTATATATAGACTATGACTACGATTACGAAACGATGCAATCCACAAGCAACAACACACCAAGAAAACAAGCTACAAAGAACAAAGCCAACTCAAGCAGATTTATGCAATACACTATGCATATGTATATCGCATGCAGCTATATATATATATATGTATAAAGTATATGCACTTAACTGTATCGGCACAGTCTGTGCAAAGCCAACCCAGGAAAGCTCAAAACTTCCATTTTTAAATGTGGTGTGTTGGAGCGGAACGGGTAACTAAAAGCTATAAAAGGGATATACATTTCGGGCTGGGGAAACGGAAACCCGCCCAGAGAGACAGAGACAGAGATATATATATATATATATACATATATACATATATGGAGTTATTAATCAAATCAATCAAAAATTCATTTCGCAACTCAATTAACGAAACAACTTTTAAAGTTACCAAAAAATGAAAATGAAACAAAAACGGATTCCAAAAGTTTGAATTTGCTTTTAAATGTATGACTTTAAAACAAAACAAAAAATATATATGTATACTTATATAAAAATCTATATGCATGCATAAAAAGAGAGATGGAGAGAGAGAGAAACCAACAGATAAACAGAACAAGAGAGCAAGAGAGAGTGAGGAATGGATTGCGTTAAACAAAAAAGAGTTAAAACCTGTAGCTCCATATTAAGTGTAAATTACAGATAATCTAAGCAACCGTAATGTGCACATACGCAGACACACGCGTATCTTATCCCAATCCGTTCTATTTATCCGAAAGATCCATGGATAGAGGAGATTTATGTACACGTTCTATATGAATGGGAATGGGAATGAGGGATCTATCCTCTCATGCATTCGTTTCTCCTTCTGGCGCGATCCTATTTCTGTTTTATTGTGTACATACATATATAATACAGTGGAAACCGTTTATTGGCCACCACTGTACCACTGTACGTTTCTTAGTCAACACACACACACCCACACACAGACACATACACGTAACCAATACGCATTCTCCCCCTCACATTCACAAATATGTACAAAAAAAATGTAATGAAATTGACTTTGAATTCTTCATTAATTTATTAAGTTTCTGTTTGTTAATGATTGTGTATAAGGATGATCGATTGTGTCGGACGTATATACTCTATAGCAGTATATACATACATAAAATATATAAACACATATACTTTCCCATATACATAAACACATACAAACACAACATACACACATACTACAGAACAACAGCACATAGGAAACAAGACTGTCTTTTAGGGTATACTTACATATACAGTAGTTGTATTTCATTTATCTAATCGAGCTCTGCATATGTACTGCTCGAAGAAATTGTTATAACCGGATAACATGAACAGACACACACACACACACACACAGACGGACAGAAACAGACACGACACGAACACAAACCGAAGCCGATACCGGAAACCGAAAACCGATCCACCTGAGTGTACTAGATGGAGCTAGTGTGCGGATAACAGCGGATATGGTAACGTAACGGTACGAAAATGATGATATGAAATTATTTGGTATATATATAATTATATTAATATATATACATACATATAAACACATACCATACATATATACACATATGCACACATATGTATATGTATATCTGATATTTCTGATTTAGTCATTGCTTTGTATGTGCCTATTATCGATTTTTGATGTATGTATATTGTATTTTCAACATCAGTTTTAAAGCTTAACATTTACATTTACACTTTTACGATATATTTATGTACTACGAGTATGTAATCTATGTAACAGCGAGCCCTAATCCGCCAGCTGCAAAAAGGATATTATTAAAAGAAAACCATAATTTATATATGATTAATAAGCTAATGAACCTAAGGATAACAAGTTTCTTCTTAATTATTTTTTTTATCTTTTTTTTTGTTCCTTCAATTAATTCATTTGTACATGTATATATTTATGTTATATTTAACTGACTAGTTCATATGATGCCGGATCACGTGTAATTGTTCTTTCGTTTTCGTTTCCCCCAAAAAGTAGAGAAAATTTTCAATTGTAAATGTATTTAACTAAAATGTTATGCGTGTATTCGTAAGAATAATGAAAATAGCTACACAATCAATGTATTTTTCCTTTAAACAAAAACGCCTTTTTATTGGTTGGGTAAAAGGTTTTGGGAAAAAGCAAAGAACATTTCAAATTTAAACCGATAAAGCCTAACCAGCATACGCATGTTGTGTTGCCCACACATCGATCTGGTTTCAATGAGATTCAAGATTTTCTACAACTCACAAACATAAAGACTAGATTGGACTTGAATTCTGGCTGGCTCAGGATGACGCAGCGAAGACCCTGGGAACCCTGTTGAAAGTTATTTGAAAACCGATGATCTTAGCTCCCAATAAAGATTACGAACTGTTTTTTTCTTTCTAAGAGCATATTTCTTGATATATTTCCCCGAATAAGCGGCATGAGGCTTTAACTTTCACATTTCCGTGTCCCACACCGCTCTGGCGATTTTCCACTTTCAATCAGTTTTGAACCGGGCACCCTCCGGCGGCCTGGGTGTTGCCGAATCGATACTACATCCGCGATCGCGTGCATCGCGCCAGCAGCCGGTACATTATTTGTTTACCTCTACTTTTACGACGTACGTACTTTAAAGGCGCATACATTACCGACATGGTTTTTACTACTGCACCATTCTTTAGCTCATCGGCTTAGACCTGCTAAGTTTTCCTTGTTTCCCCCCGTATCCATCTTTTCCATTGACCATGTTTCTTGGTTCTTCTTCTTGGCCGTGGACACCGATACGCCCACCATCGTTTATCAGAGTCTTCACCCTCCTGGACTTCCGGCTAATATGAGCGAGTGTGAGCTCGATGATGGCTGTCCACTCCAGGCGCCTGACCGTCTGACATGGCGAACTCCCCGCCGGCTCCTCCTCTCGGGACATGATACCTGTCGCGCGAGGCTGTGGCCTTTGGCCTGGGCAACCTATGTGTTTGGCCACTGCCACGGTCCTCTTTCTTGCGTCCCACGCTGTTTTCTGTGCCTTTCCAGTCCGCTCGCCGTCGGTACCTCTTCCGCTAGTGATTCCATCGTAGCTCCTCAGGATGTGCTGCTGGCTGGACAGTGCTAGCCACTAGCTGACCTTCTGCGGGCCATAGCCATGATGCCACTGTGTCGCTGAGTCGACAATGTAGCGTCCTGTCCGTTGCACCAGGGACCAGTGATCGACGGCGGAATCGTTGGCTCACGCCCACGGGAAATAATTTCAGCAACTGTTTTTCATGCAAAGATTCGGGGAAACATGAAACATGACTGGGATTTTATGAGTCCTTACCAAAGGATCAAGGATATTTTTCCAATTACAGGAATATTTGGAACAGGAAGATACGCTTTTTCTGGGCGCCTGCCACGAATACGTATTCTGTACGTTTTTGTAGAACTTCGCAGGGCGTTGTTCGATCATTTCAATTCAAACTATTAAGTTCTCAACGGACTTTTCAGAGCTCCTGGTTTTTGATCTTCTGTCGAATATTACCTGCTAAATAAACCATTTAGCCATGCCCACATAATGTTATACGATTGATAAATCAATTTTCTACTTGACTGGCCTATTTTAAACACTTGCTTTTATTGGTTTTTTATATACCGTTGAAAATTAAATGGGTCTTCTTCTGGTTTGGTTAGGCGGTATTATTAACATAGCATAACAGTGCCAGGGCTGGGCAAAACGATCGTTCACTGCGCTCTGCAGCACATTTTGAGCTGTTAGCGCTCTTGGTGCTGTTGGACGAATTCAGGCGGTTATTCGCTGCTACGCTGCGAACTCGAAATGGGGGCCTGTGCAACCTTGCAACGGGTTTCGTTGCTGTCGTCTGTCGTGCTCTCTGTGCCGCTGAATTTAGTCGTTGTCTCCACCTCAAGCTCGGCTGCATTGCCGCAACTAATTGTTGTAGTTCCTTAGTTTACGTTTGTTTTTTTTTACTTGGTTTTTTGTTTATTTTTGCCGCACAACGCCGATCAAGTGAGCCGCAACCTAGCAGCAGCATACCGCTATTGCCTAGTTCCCGGGAACGAGACAACCACGAGTATGTAGATTGTTCCCAAAACGCCTGATACGAATTCGAAATTTTTAGAGTAATGGTGGCCAGAAAGTTGGCCAAAACCAAAACCTCTCTAGTGAACCAAAGCCGAACCCCAGCCCCGGATGATATTTTGAAATATTTTATATTAGATAAACGGCATGTGTATCAATAATTAATCTACATATATGTACGTCGTACGGACAGACCTTTGGATGTGTGTATGAGGTGGTACATCCG